AGAAGTTTTGGCCAGAAGTTGTTAATTGGAGTGTTCATATCTTGAACAGAAGTCCCACATCTCCACTTCCAGATATGACACCAAACAAGGCTTGGAGTGGATGCAGACCTGCTATTGACTACTTCAAAATTTTTGGGTGCAAAGCATATGTACATGTGCCAAATCAGAAAAGGAGTAAACTTGATGACAAAGGGGAAAAGTGATCAGTCCAAAGTTTACAAATTATACAATCCTTTAACCAAGAAGATCATCATTAGTCGTGATGTAGTGTTTGATGAAGCAAGCACCTGGTCTTGGACAGAAAAAATCTAAGCGACAAATTCCTGCAGATTTCGAGAATGGTGAAGATTTAACTGTGTAGAACTCAAGAGGTCAGAATGGAGGTGTAACTTCAGCAGACCTTGAGGCATCAAGAAAGGCATCAAGAAAGGCAAAAGAGGAAAGTTTGCTTGCAGGAGTAGAGCTCAGTATTAGAGAAAGTCTGCCGACAACTCCAAAACTGAAATATGGAACTAATTCATGACCTCAATGCAAAAAGAGAAAACCATCATGGTTGGAGGATTATGAAGTAACATATCTACCTCAAGATGATGTTCTAGTTACTCAGTTTGCTCTAGTTGTAGATTGTGATCCTTTGACATATGAAGAGGCTGTTAAAGAAGAAAAGTGGTAAAAAACCATGGTAGATTAAATTGGTTCTATTGAAAGGAACTAGACTTGGGAGTTGACAGATCTTCTAGAAAGGCACAAGACAATTGGTGTTAAGTGGATTTACAAGACAAAGCTCAAAGAGAATGGGGAGGTTGACAAATTCAAAGCTTGCTTGGTGGCAAAGGGATACAAGAAAGAGTTTGGCATTGATTATCAAGAAGTTTTGACTCGAGTTGCAAGGATGGACACCATCAGATTGGTGATTGCATTGGTAGCATAGAACTCATGGCTTATCTACCAACTTGATGGGAAATCGACCTTTTTGCATGGAAATATGCAAGAACATGTATTTATTGATCAATCCCCTAGTTATCTGAAATTTGGTTTTGAGCATAAGGTTTACAAATTGAAGAAAGCATTATATAGACTAAAACAAGCACCTAGGGCTGGGTATAGTCGAATTGATGCTTATTTCTTGAAGGAAGGTTTTTAGAAGTGCCCTTATAAGCATACACTTTACATCAAATTTGGAGATAGAGGCAAATTGATTATTGTATGCTTATATGTTGATGATTTAATTTATACTGGGAATGATCTTAGCATGTTGGAAAAGTTCAAGCAGTCCATGATGCTTGAATTTGATATGACAAATCTGGGTTTGTTGTATTATTTTCTTGGTCTGGAAGTCGTACAATTAGATTCTGGAATTTTTGTTTCTCAAAAAAAATATGTGCATGAAGTTTTGGATAGATTTCAAATGAAGAACTGCAATTCTGTCACTACACCAATTGACAAATGTGTAAAGCTCGTGAAAGATCCAGGAGGCAAATCTATGGACAACAAACTGTATAAGCAAATGGTTGGAAGTTTGATGTATCTAACAGCAACAAGACCAAACATAATGCATGGTGTAAGTCTGATTAATAGATACATGGAGCATCCAAAAGAGTTGAACTTGCAGACTGCTAAGAGAATTCTCAGGTATTTACATGGAACTACAGATTTTGGACTATTCTACAAGAAGGGTGACTAGATAGATCTCGTGGGCTTTGCAGACAATGATTATACTAGAGATCTAGATAACAGAAAAAGCACTTCTGGGTTTGTTTTTATGTTGGGATCTGAGGTAGTTTCATGGTTTTCAAAGAAATAGCCCATTGTGACATTGTCCACAACAGAAGCAGAGTATGTGGCAGCAACTTCTTGTGCTTGTCAAGCTATTTGGTTGAGAAGAGTTCTGGAAGAACTTGAGAGGAATCAGCATGAGGCCACTTCAATTTATTATGATAACAATTCAGTTATCAAGCTTTCTAGAAATCTAGTTCTACATAGGAAAAGCAAGCATATACATGTGAGGTATCATTTTTTACGCAACTTGGTAGAAGATGAAATAATTGAGTTGACTTATTGCAGAACAGAAGATCAAGTGGCTGATATATTCACAAAATCCTTCAAAGCAACAACTTTTTCAAGATTGAGAAAGCTACTTAGTGTTTGCAGCATGTAGAATTCAATTTAAGGGAGGGTCTGTAGATTCTAGATTGCAAACATGGTATTTTCTAGATTTCTTTTAATTAAAGTCCGAAGACTTTCAGTTTAAGAGAGGGATTATTCGAATTAGATCTTATTATTTAGCCATTATCTCTATAATTTAGGAAGTTTAAGTTATTTATTTGTCTTAAGTTGTTATAATTTAAATTAGATTAGATAAGATTGATTAGTTATCTTTTTAGAGATAATATTATCTTGTAAAGTCTATTTAAAGGTTAGTTTATTTTCAGTTTAATGTGATTTCGATTTTCATTCCATCTTCTACTTCTAGGGAATTCTTGATTTTTAACACTTTTTACTTTCAATAATCACTTCAATTGGTTAAAACATCATAATTAAGAAAATTGAAGACACTTTGAAAAAAAGTCTGATTGCCTCACGTTGGCTGAAACTAGAAGTTATTCTTAATTGTTAGGAATAAAGCTATGTACTTACTGACTTTTGGTGCTGCCAATGCAACATTATTAAATGGCAGTTGAACGCAGCTGCAGAAGCAAGCTACATGTAATTTGAAGCCGCGACAAGAGCAGGTAAGATTTTAAAAGGTCTGAACGCTGCTAATTGTTCTTACCTACAAATTTCTTATGAACAATGTAAGAATATAGAGTATAATAATTTATTGATAAAATTTTATATTTATTTTTAATTAATTATCATTTAAATAAGAGTTTTATTGAATACATATATATGTTATAATTATTTTTTAAAATAATAATAAAATAAAAATAAATACTTTGAATAATATTTTAAAAAATTAAAAGTAGACAATTAAATTTAAACATTTTAAATTAAAAACTAGATAAATCTATTAAAGTTAGATGAAGAGAATATTAAATAAATTGAATCCTCAAGCTATTCCCTTAATTAATACTTCTTCTATTTTAGAATAATTTTCAATTTTAACTTCTAATTTGTTCTAAATTAATTGTGTTTTTCTACTTTCTGTATCCATAATAATAAATATTTTTTATTTAAAATTTATTTCAAAATAATAGACATTTTTTCATATTTTAAGAGAGGAAAATATTTTTTTTCTTATTTTGACTTTATCATTACCTCTTAATTTTAATTATTCTTCATATCATGAAAAATGTTTATTTTTACTTTTTTAGAATAAAATGTGTAAAAATAAAAATTCTCCCTAAATTCTTAATTTGGAGATAAAAAAAAAAAAGTTTTGTTACGAGACAGAGGGAATACTTTTTAAGATAGTCAAGTATTTTTCTCTTATTTTAATACTATTATTATTTATTTATTTTATTAATCATTTTATCACAATTTTTTTATATTTTATTTTTTAAACATAATATAACCAAACACATAAATTGTTTCAAATTCTTAATTTTAA